ATTCTAGGAGTTGAAGTCCACTCATCTTAAAGTGGCCAAGTTTGGACAACACTGATCTAGGCTGATGGGCAGAGAGTAGGGAGTGTAACACTTGTTAACTGAAATAGTGGCTTCCAGAAACATGACTTGAAGACTCACGTCTTCATCAGAGATGATATGATCGGATACGCCATGGTGAATAAAGCTGGAGAATAAACACATCATCCCAAGAGCAGAGGGAAGGCTACAACAGGAAGAAATGAGGCAGTTCTGAGAACAGATTAAGTACTAGTAGAACGACATCTGGGCTTTGACCCGTGTTAGGTTAATAATAAAGTCCAAAGAAAATTTGGCCCAAGGTGCTCTGGGGAGGGGAGGAAATGCAGCCATCTGGCTGGTTTATTCTCCAAGATGGCAATATAAAACAAGACAAGAATTGTGCCCACTTGACCTGGTGCTGGCTGAGACCGAGAAGCTGGCGAGTGTTCTAAATTCTTGTGATCAGTTCTGGTTTTGATGGGGTGTTTGACCTCTTTGAGAAAATGGTGCTAATACAGAAAGGCTTTGATGATTAAAAGCTGCTCATTAAACCATAATAGTGCTGTTCTGCCAGCAGAAAGTTGTCTGGGAAAAAAACCCGCTCAAGGGACCAAGTTATCTTCAGACTCTGGAGCAGATTGTACAAACGCAGCCCCAGGGTGCAGTCCAAAGTGTCAATCTGAACTACAAAGGGACAGGTGGGAACTGTAGGGTGGAGGGTTGTAATGGGAAGAAGGAATGACCTTGAGGAATAGGAGGAAGAGCCACAACCAAAACAATGGTCAAACAAAAGAAATCTGAGTTCAGGCCAGAACTGTAACCTGAGAAGCCGTTTGGGACTTGACCCTCCCTTGTTCTCACAAAGAGAAAGGGAGGGAGAGGGAATCACATTCAGACTTGCAAGGTTCTGTTATTGCAACCTTGTAATAAAAATAGGATTAGCATTCATGACTTTGGTCTGGTCTACCTTGAAGCCCTGACAAGGATGGAGCAAAAATCCACTTGAGTAAGAGAAGGTCCTGATGGGCATGAGGAAACCACCCAAAAGGAACCTCTTTCTTGGTAAGACAAGTTCATGGTATGAGGGCAGCTGTGATGGAGTGTATCTACGAAGGGGGAGGTGATGTGATGGAAGGAGGGAGCGCATTCCAGGAGGGAAAGTGGGCAGACAAGAGGCAGCACAGTCCGGAGCAGGAGCGTGGGAAGAGGAAGAGATTTAGGATAGCCGCTCCCTAGAACCTCCCAGGGTAAATCAGCTAGATTAGAGTAACACAGATTTAGTCTGGCAAGATTCTGTCTATATGGTATAAGCAAGGAAAGAACTGAACTTGGCTGGACTGTCTCCCTGTTGTTCTTGGGCTGGGCCTGGCAGCAGCAGACAGACAAAAATATATTCAATCAATGATCAGAACAATGAAAAAGAGTCGGACAAGAAGATTGCATTACAATAATACAGCATAATAAAAACCAATGTATTATTTATCATGTTCAGAAAACATACATCCCTGACGGTGTGGGTGGGTTCCCCCTCCCAAAGAATCAATTTAATTCCATCTGGATTCACTCCAAGGAAATAAGGTAGCCCCAGTAATCCAAGATGGGCAGAACAAAAGTGCATTTCTCCAGTTTAGGCTGCATTTGCAAAATCACTGAATCTATTCACTGTGGAGAGCAGGATCCTCAGAGTAGATCAGCAGGTCACTCAAATAAAAGTTTGTCCAACAGGTTGTGAAAACTATTAATGTTCATGAAGACTTAGGGCCTTCCTGATGATCCAAGCAGTAAGACCTGATATTCATATTTCCCATACAGGTACTCCTTATTTAGCGACCACAATTGGGATTGGCAACTCGGTTGTTAAGCAAAACAGCTGCTAAATGAAACCATGATGGTGCTTATGATCTTCCTTCAGCTTTGCTTTACAGACCTGCAAAGGTTGTAAATGCGAGGATTGGTCCCAAAGTGACTTTTTCATCACCATCGTACGAACGGTCACTGTCGAAGGCAGTAGCTAAATGAGGACTACTTGTAATGGGTTTTAAAAGTTGTCAATATTTATGACCCTCTTTCATGTAAATTAGGTTGGAAATTCCTCTGAAATCCAGTTTTACTAAAAAAAAATGCATGCTTTCTGTACCTGTTTTAAGTGTTCACGATGCCTAGCAGTTACAAAAATTAGGAACCTGTAATCATGTACCTCATGTAAGAAGCCATGGTTTTAAGCAAGAAGAATGAAAAAAGGTAGGAGCATTGGAATTCCTTTGGGATGAAAGGGGATAAGGCCTTTTTGTCATCAAGGCATTATTTTAGGCTGGCTGATTTTGTTTCTGACATGGGATAGTGGCATTCCTTGCAGGAGTCTGAGCCCCAGGAGTAAGGCTGACGGTATAATCAAGAGAAACGATTGGGGGCAGAGTGTATTTTCCTCTTCCCAACCTGTAGCATACTTGGCAGGTCAGCCAAGGGTTGGGCCCTGCTGTGCAGCCATGGAGGTGTGCTTGAGGTCTTGCAGGGGGTGAGTTTTGCAAGCCTGGGAGTCAAAACGTTATGCTTCCTTGAACCCAATGAATGTGGATTGTGTGCTTGAAGCCAGTCCGTTCCCCAAACTATTGGAAAATATAAAGGAAAAACCAAATGGAGCCGCAGTGACACTTGATGGTTACCAGTAGAAAGTAGGAGAAAAGCTTCATGTCTTCTGAGATGGGCCTTGAGCTAACAGCCCGCCGTTGATCATCTCCATCCTCACAGGGTGCAATGGTCTGGGGGAAGGACCTGGGGAGACAGGAGAAGGGTCGCAGACTAGGCACCCATCAGATCAGAGGCAGCTGAGCCCGCAGAAGCGATGGGGGCATGGCAAACGTCTCAGAAGGGACCCTCCCTGGTTTTTGGACTGTAAAGGTGAGGGGGTGTCAGGTTCAGCCCAAAGAACTCCAAGAGACAATGCAAGTACAGTTCTGTTGCATTTACTAGCTCCAACCTCAAGACAGAATCTCCCCAGACTGAACCCAAGTTCCAAACCCAGCCAGCCACAACACCGTGAATTCCTCAGGGAGGTGCCAGCCTCATCCTCTTGAACTTCCCACGCTCCCGCCGGGGGCTAAGAACACGCTTATCTCCCTGAGCCTGGCCTTCATAAGTCCATGCCATCACTGGGGGAGAG